ACATGTCCAGTAAAAAAAAATTTAAAAATCAAATTTAGTCATAAATTTCTGCCAAAATGCATTCTGCGACATGTCTTTGCTAAAAAAAAAAACCCAATACGTGTAAATTTAATTAGTTTACGTGAAAGTTATAGCGTTTACAAATGGTGGGAAAGATACTGGGATTTTTAGTTTTTTTTTTATACTAATAATGGCGGCGATCAGCGAATTATGGCGGCGATCAGGGACTTATGGCAGCGACCAGCGACAATGACATTCTGACATTGGGGGGTACTGACTTGGGGTCACTGATATCCCCAAAAACACTAATACAGTGATCAGTGCAAAAAAAAAAAAAAAAACTGACACTGTACTAATGGCAATGGGGAGGAAGGGGTTAACTTTATTTTGCAGGGAAGGGTTATAGGAGTGAGGGGAGTGTTTTACTAGGGGGGGGGTGTGTACTGGGCGGGACAAGGCTGATGGAGAAAGAGAAACTGTTCTTTCTCGATCAGCTCATCCTTGAGCTGACAGGGAAGTGACAGACAGCACAGCTACTGCAGCTGTGCTGTCTGTCACGGTTTGCCGCCGATCACCGGGACATAGCCGCTAAGGAGCGGCTGTGACCCGGCGACTGACATCTGCGGCGGTGATCCGCGGGACAGATAGGGTTTTCACTAGTACCAGTTCTAGACTAAGAGATTCAGTGGATTGTAGGATATGTAGTTTCTTCACAGGAAGTGTCAGTTCCCAGACTACTGACAGAGGTCACGCATTAACTTGTGCAGTGTCATGCCTAATGCCTCACCTTTGAAACCGAAATTGCTGATGCAGGAATGTGAATATGTATTCTACTATAGACTTTGTGTACAGGGTAACAAGTTACTACATGATAGCATACACCCATGCAAGAGCTGTGTTTACCCGCATGGGGATGCATAGATGTTCCATTCATGTCAGTTGGGATGCAGGATACAGCCGCTGCTTGCAATTTGACATCCGTGCTGGTGTGGGTGCTGCGATAGAACGCCTGCTTCCATCAGAGCAGAGGTGTAGCTTGAAGCTTGTGGGCCCCATTGCAAAAGTTGACCTGGGCTCCACCCACTATCACTCACCATTTCTTAAAATTTTTTACATATTGAGAAGTTGATTCAAACAATTTTGTAGAAACCACTCTAGTAATGACATGACCTTCTCACCCCCCCATCCTAGAAATAGCATAACCTTGCCCCCCCCCCCCCCCCATCCTAGTAATGACATGACCTCGTCCCTTCCCTCTATGCTAATAATGACATGACCTTGTCCCCCATCCTAGTAATGACATGACCTCGCCCCTCCCTTCATCCTAGTAATGACATGACCTCACCACCCTCATCCTAGTAATGGCATAACCTCGCTCCCCCCCTCCATCATAGTAATGACATAACTTTGCCCCCCCATCCTATTAATGACATGACTGTGCTCCCCCATCCTAGTAATGACATGACCTCACCCCCCATCCTAGTAATGACACGACCTCGCCCCCTCCCCACATTCTAGTAATGACATTATCTTGCCCACCATTCTAGTAATGACATGACCCCCCCCCCCCCCCCATCCTAGTAATGACATGACCTCGCCCCCCATCCTAGTAATGACACGACCTTGCCCCCTCCCCCACATTCTAGTAATGATATGATCTTGCCCACCATTCTAGTAATGACATGACCCCCCCCCCCCCCATACTAGTAATTACATGACCTCGCCCCCCCCGTCCCAGTAATGACATGACCTCTTCCCCCCCATCCTAGTAATGAAATGACCTCAACTCCCCATCCCAGTAATGACATGACCTCGCCCCCCCATCCTAGTAATGACACAAACTGCCCCCCCCCCCCCCCCCAGTAATGACTAATGACATGACCTGGCATTCCCATCCTAGTAATGACGTGTCCTTCCCCCCCCCCCAGTCATAACATGACCTGCCCCCCCAGTAATGACATGGCCTCGCCCTCTCCCGAGAATCCTCGTTAGGTGAGTGAGCAGTGCAGTCTTTTACCTCCTCCACTCTGTTCAGGAAATGTGGGCACACATGACTTCTCCTCGGCCAATGAGAACGAAGGAGGGGTGTGGACTAAGGAGAAGGTAAATGACTGGAAGCTGATTACTGGGTTATAGAGCTTGGCTGGGGCCCTGGGGAACACAAAGCGGAAAAGAGCTGGACTCCAGCTCTTGGATTTTGTTGGGAAAATGTAATATAATAGCAGGGAGTGGAACCACGGGCTCCCTGGAGCTAGGGATGGGGTTGCAAATATGACCCCTGCGTCCCCTGATGCTACACCTATGTGTCAGAGAACTGCTTCCTCACTGCTGGGACACAGGACCAAGGTATTGTAGCTGGGCATTGCACCCAAGAACTAGACAATACTAACTTAGCTGCAAACTGGAAGTCAGCTTTATTGCAAATTCACACAGAATTTATACCACACAAAATCGGATAAGAGCTCGATCACATGATCCTACACAATGCAACCTATAAACAGTAATATCATCAGTACATCCAACAGTACATCTAATGAACAGCTAAAATTTAACGGTGATCTAATTAAACAGTAATCTAATCAACAGTTAGTAGCTAACAGTGATCTAATTAACAGTAAGCTAATCAACAGCCAGGAGCCCACACCAGACAGCCCAGCAACAAGCCCACACCCCTGGATATACAAAGTACATTACACATGCTGTCTTTCAGGTGTTTGCCTTTCACTTGTATAAGTTGTCCACTAGAAAAAGTCATCATAAGGTAAAACTCATACAATATTCCAACAGTCTGAAAAAGTGGAAATAATTTATCTTCATAGGTTTCTTGAGGGAGATTGTTGATAAATATTTCTGTCTCAAGTGAAGGAGCTTCTCCAACCCATGCTGGAGGAGTGCCACCATATTTCATCTGACCATTAACCTGTACAATGATAATATTACACTTTTCCATCCACTCCAGAAGGGAAGCTTTTTTGTCTTTTTTCAGAGAATTAATCCAAGCCTCACTCTTAGTGTTCATCATGTTATTATTCATCATCACAGACTGATCTGCTCTCGCCATGTGATCAGAGGCTGAACTGAGCTCTTTTCCATGCTCTGACTGGGAGAACCAGAGAAAATCTTCGGTCTCCCCCATGGGCCATAATCATTGGGTAGAAGGCTAGCCCCTTGTCCCCTCCAAAAGCCCCTGTCCCGGTTGGGTCTGTCACAGATGCATTGTCCCAAAAGCAGACAATGCAGGAGATTTACTAAAACTGGTGCACATAGAATATAGGGCAGCTGTACATAGTAACCCATCAGCTTCTGACTTCAGCTTGTTTTTTTTTTTTTATCGGTGAGTACTCGCTGATTCCAATTACCGATACCTTTGTGATGCGATTTGAGCCCATACAAAATGATTAGGTTCAAATCGCACTGCAAAGAATCACATGCAATTTAAACAGGAATGCAGTACAATTCCTGTCTGAATCACATACGGTTTCCCTGTGGGTGTAGTGCGATTTAAGCCATTCATTTTGTATGGTTCAAACCACATCCTACCCACAGGGAAACCGCATGTGATTCAGACAGGAATCGCACTGCATTCCTTTTCAAAGCACATGCGATTCTTTGCAGTGTATTTTTAGCCCATTAATTTTGTATGGGATCAAATAACATCGCAAAGGTATCTGTTTTAGATATCGGAGCATTTGTACGAGTATAAGTATTCATGCAAATGCTCAGTATGGGCACCGATATCGTTATCAGTGCAACCCTCGTTACTATGTACAGCTGCACCAGATTCTGTGTACACCGTTTAAGTAAATCTCCCTCAGTGCGTGTTCAGGGCCATGCAATGTCTTTGTAATGCCTTTAAACTACACTGACAAAGGTCCAGCACAGAGTTTCATTTCACAAAGAGTATCAAAACAACCATTTACTGTAATGACCCGCTGCCAACTGAGGTGTAGGAGGAAAAAAACTACAGTACTTGCCACATACACTATATTGCCAAAAGTATTGTGACGTCTGCCTTTATCCCTAGTTCACACTGATGCGGTGCGGAATTCGCATCACAATCGCACCCCGTTCATACAAACCGATGCGGGTGTGCATGTTAAGTTAACACCCCGACATCGGTTCAACAAATGTGCGGTGCGATGCGCAGAATTGGATCGCATAGGTGTGAATACCTATGCGATCCGATTCTAGTGCAGACCAAAAAAGGGTCTTGCACATTTTTGGTGCGGGTGCGGTGCGAATAGAGGCATACAAAATGTATGGCTCTGAGCGCACCACATACAAATCGCATGTGATTTGTACAGGAATGCGGGATTTCTGCACCGCTGTAGTGTGAACCTAGGATTACACACACATGAACTTTAATGGCATCCCAGTCTTAGTCCATAGGGTTCAATATTGAGTTGGCCCGCCCTTTGCACCTATAACAGCTTCAACTCTTCTGGGAAGTCAGTCCACAATTTTTAGGAGTGTCTATGGGAAGGTTTGACCATTCTTCCAGAAGCACATTTGTGAGGTCAGGCACTGATGTCGGACGAGAAGGCCTGGCTCACAGTCTCTGCTCTATTTCATCCCAAAGGTGTTCTATTGGGTTGAGGTCAGGACTCTGTGCAGGCCAGTCAAGTTCCTCCACCCCAAACTCGCTTATCCATGTCTTTATGGACCTTGCTTTGTGCACTGGTGTGCAGTCCTGTTGGAACAGGAAGGGACCATCCCCGAATTGTTCTCACAAAGTTGGGAGCATGAAATTTACCAAAATGACTTGGTATGTTGACCCCTTAAGTGTTCCCTTCACTGGAACTAAGAAGCCAAGCCCAACCCCTAAAAAACAACCCCACACCATAATCTCCCCCCCCCCCCCCCACCAAACTTTAGACTTGGCACAATGCAGTCAGGCAAGTACCGTTCTACTGGTAACTGCCAAACCCAGATACATCCATCGGATTGCCAGACAGAGAAGCGTGATTGCTCACTCCAGAGAACACGTCTCAACTGCTATAGAGTCCAGTGGTGGTGTGCTTTACACCACTGCATCCGATGCTTTGCATTGCACTTGATGATGTAAGGGTTGGATGCAGCTGTTGGGCCATGGAAACCCATTCCATGAAGCTCTCTGTTGTGCTAATCTGAAGGCCACATGAAGTTTGGAGGTCTTTAGCTATTGACTCTGCAGACAGTTGGCGACTTCTGCGCACTGTGCGCTTCAGCATGTGTCGGTCCCTCTCTTTCATTTATGTGGCTTACCACTTGGTGGCTGAGTTGCTGTTGTTCCCAGTTGATTCCACTTTGTTATAATACCACTAACAGTTGACTGTGGAATATTTAGTAGTAAGGAAATTTGACGGATGGACTTATTGCACAGGTGGCAACCTATCACAGTACCACGCTTAAACTCACTGAGCTCCTGAGAGCGACCCATTCTTTCACAAGTGTTTGTAGAAGCAGCCTGCATGCCTAGGTGCTTGATTCTATACAACTGTGGCCATGGAGGTGATTGGAACACCTGAATCCAATGATTTGGAGGGCTGGCCCAATACTTTTGGCAATATAGTATATAAGTGCTTGTATCTGTTAATTTCCATTAAAACCTCACTTTCAGGTGAATGATTAACAAAAATGTGTATTTTTGGTACACTGAATAGTTTTGAGATGTGGGAGTATTATGAGTCATCCATGTGTGAGGCTAACATCACAAGGGCTGTACCTGCTGGAATAAGAAGTAGAAAATAAGGAAGTTTGTGAGTGATTAGCAAGTGTTAACACTTTCCACTTTATTGGTTCTGTGTTAAAAGGAAAACCGTAGATATTGCTGTAAATTGTCTGAGCTCTTCCTCGTCCAGAGAACCATCTTCTTGATTTTAGCTGGAAATGCTTGCCAGGTGCAGCATTAATCAGAGTACTTCACCAGTGAAATTATAATCTGGAGAACTCTGAAAACATCACAGGTTCCCTCATTAAGTGCATACATTGCTCCATGTGTGAAGAACTGTCTCGTTAGCTCCTTGAGAGCATCTGTAGTGATCATAGCATATTATACATGTATCTTGACTCCCATGCTTAAACCTTAACACCGAGATAAGCAAATATTGTCTAAATACAAGAGTCATGTGTATTCTTCCTTGAATTTTGGTGAGCTTTGTGTACTTCTTCCAGATCTGTGCAGTAATCTAGTGTGAAACGTTCCTTCTGTGCATAAGCTTCCTGTAATAAAAACCAATTGAAAACTGCGCAAACACAAACTCTTCATGGCAGGGTCTCTGTGGCAGTCAGGGTCCCATCATGTGGCTGCATAGTATAAGATTCTTGGAGAGTCAAGCTGAAAAGCACTAATTCAGTAAAATAATTCAGTACACAACTACTTGTGATTATACTCATTGACAATTATAAAGTAAGAACTTTAGGGCAGCACAGTGGCTAAATGGTTAGCACTTCTGCCTGGCAGTACTATGGTCATTGGTTCGAATCCCAACCATGGCTCCACCTGTCTGGAGTTTGCATGTTCTCCCTGTGCCTGCATGAGTTTCCTCCAGATACTGCTGTTTCCTCCCACACTCCAAAGACATGCTGGTAGGTAATTGGCTCCTGTCTAAATTGGCCCTAGTATGTGTATGTATGAATGTGAGTTAGGGAGCTTAGATTGTACGCCCCTTGAGGGTTAGGGACTGATGTTAATGTACAATATATATGTAAAAGCGCTGTGTAAGTTGACAGCGCTATATAAGTACCTGAAATAAAATAAATAATTGACAGCAATCCTCACAGCAGAGTCCAAGGTAGGTCTGGTAACAAAGGTGAACAGCTGGAGTGAACCAAATCGCAAGAGTGCATCCCTTCTGGACCTGCAGCATTCTACTAGCAATCAGGGAGGGGTTCCCCACAGTAGCTGAGTCTTCCGGAGAAGCTGTATGTACTTGTATTATTATTATACAGGATTTATATAGCGCCAACAGTTTGCGCAGCACTTTACAATATAAGGGAGACAGTACAATTACAATACAGTTCAGTACAGAAGGAATAGGAGGGCCCTGCTCGTGGAGCTTACAATTGAAAGGATTTATTTGTAAAAGGGTGCATGAATTTGTGGCATGCACTGTGTGTGGCGGTGCACTGAGGCCAGAGTATCCATGTAGACACTCCACCCTCAGTGCAGCTAAGCATCTTCCTGCTGCTGCAACTCTCAGACGGTGCAGCAGCTGAGCATTTTTAAGCTGGGAGGGCAGAGTCTAATGGGGATTTTGGAACACTAGCTCCCTATTAGGTCCGCTTCCCTTGCAATGGACAGCAGGCAGTGGGTGGATCCTCAGCCAATAGACAACCTGCTATTGGCTATAGAATCTTCCCACTGCCTACTGTCAATCATAAGGAGGGAGTGGACCTGCTGGGGAACTAGTGTCTTAGCTTCCTCTTCAGGCTCTGCCTACTGAAGCAACAATGGTTGTTAGGAGACTGTCAGCTGTGAGGTCAACAACCTGTTTAACTAACAGTGACATGTGGAGAGGAGAGGAGAGCGGTAGCAGTGGCAAATATGCCTCCTGCTACACACTGTACAGAGACAAGCACTCCACCCTGTCTCTGTACACCTACTCAGAGTTGGTCTTGATTACTTTCGGTTTTGTTATCTACAAACTGTAGGTACTTATTTTTGAATTTGGTGCACTTTGTGGCATTTTTAAAAGCTACCTGAATCTGCTGCACATGTCGGTAAAGCTAACAAAAGGGGCGGAAGGGATTTTTTAATCTAGTGGAGGTCATTTTAATGGGCCATAGCACCAGAAAATTGTTGTTATTTATTGAATTACCCCAAATAACTTTATTAACCTTCATCTAAAATTTATTCTGCATAAGGATTTTCAAAATACACAGATAAAATATAAAACATAAGCTCCCAGATCAATCCAAACAAGAAAAAGTACATATTAATATAGTTCAAAATGTATTATACAGTATGTACCTCTTTTGTCCTTTACAGTACCACCAAGTTCTAGCAGCTCAGTTTGCAAAATAAGGGGTTAACCCATTCATGTGCAGTTCCTTCGATTGTCTAGAACTGGAACAATGTGAAATATTCCACAAGTCAAGTTCAAAAATACAAATGAAGTAGCTTACATAACATACCATAAGAGCCCTGTGCGCTGTGTTTTTTTTTAGAAATTGCTCCAATATACTACACACAGCAAGGTTTGTAATCCTCAGCATTGCTATCATAGGAACCATAAAATGTCCTTTATAAAAATAGACACCCCATAAGAGCACATTGCTCGGTGTTCGGAAAAGTACTTACTCATATAATACACACACCAGTATTTGTAATCTTTAGAATTATAGCAAAGGCTCTCCTGAATAAGATCCATCCAATGTCTGAAAAGCCAAATACATTTATTTCTATCTCCATTACAGGTTTTATTGTTGAATATGTCCCCACAAGGGAGATTTGCCCTGTGTAAACCCACACTTTTGAGATGTTACCAGAAGAGAGCAGTAAACCCTCCTGGGTACGCACTGTCTTAGAGGGAGCTTTGCTCACTTTGGAGAGATCTCCTCTCACTTTCTGTTGTGTCTACAAAACAGGAGCTGAAGAAAAATCTCCCCAAGGGGACACAAGGGAAAAAAGTAACATGACAGGAGTTGTAACCCAGCCCTGTTGTATCCAAAGTAAAAAAAGAGCTTGGTCTGTAGATTCATTTATTGACTCATTTATAAATGGTGGCTGGTAGAAAGCAATTGTAAACACACTGCTTTAGCAGCCAGGACTGTGTTTAGATTTGTAGAGTGGGTGATGGGCTTTCATGTGGAACAGCCTGCCTATTCACTTTCACAGCCAGCCAAAAATACCACCCAACTTCCGCACCATGTATCCCAGTCCCTGCTTGGCTGTCTCACCTGCACACCCAAGACCAGCATGGCTGGCGTCATTGGGTGGAACTGAGGGAGACCATCTAAACTCCATTTGCTGATCTCCCATCCGGTGAATGAACACAGAAGCGATGTGTATTACTTTGCTTCTGGGTTTGGCTATCACTTTCCCTAGTTGCTGTGGTCAGGGAAGAAGCTAATAGAGCACAATCTGTGTTACATTAGCTTTAGTGGAGGACAGGAATGACATCAGGGGGTTTATTTACTAAAGCTGGAGAGTCCAAAATCAGACTCCCTTCTGCATAGAAACCAATCAGCTTGCAACCTCAGCTTGTTCAATGAAGCTTTGGCAATGAAACCTGGAAGCTGATTGGTTTCTATGCAGAAGTGAGTCTGATTTTGCACTCTCCAGCTTTAGTAAATAAACCCCCAGGGGTCTAACAGATATCTGATGTCTCAGTAAAGAGAACATGTCATTACAGTATGTTATCACATGGGGGATATTGGTTCCCTATGTAAAAGCAATAGTAGTTAAATAAATTAATTGTTTAGAAAAAAAGTAAATAAAATAATTTTTAAATCCACCATCCCTGCGTTCATGCACATAAGAAAATAAACACAAACATAGGGGTTTATTTACTAAGGACCGGTTCACACCATAGAAACGTAGTTCAGATGCATTTCCGCATGCGTGTTTTAGATACATTCTGGTGTGTTTTGCTGCTTTCCGGGTTTTCTTTTCCCCTCTTTTTTTTAAATTTAAATAGGGACATGTGCTTTCCAGTGCGCTTACTTCCCTTCCCCTTTTCTCTTTTTCTTCACTTCTCCCTTTTTTCTTCCTTTTATTCTCTTTCTTTTTCTTTTCTCTATCCTTCATTTTGTTTTTGGTGTGTTCTGGTGCGTTTTTGATGCATTTTATCATGTTCCAGCACAGTTCTGTGCAGGAAAAAATGCAGCATGTTCTTTTTTTCTGCAACCGTAACGCACTGGAACTGCAAGCACTGATGTGAACTATGACATTGACAACCATATAACTTTGTGTGCATTTTGGATGCAGAAATAAAGCAACTGAAAACACATGTAGTGTGAACTGGCTCTCAGCTTGGGTTCACACTGATGCTGTGCGGAATTTGCAGCATTTTCTGTGCGAATTCCGCACCACATCAGAATCACACCCAGTTCATGCGAACCGCTGTGGGTGTGTATGGTAAGTTAACAACACCCTGAAATCAGTCTGCAAAACACGGTGCGATGTGCAGAATCAAATCACATAGGTGTGAATACCCATGCGATCCGATTCTAGTTTGGACCAAAAAAAGGGTCCTGCACCTTTTTGGTGTGAATGCGGTGTAATTAGAGCCATGCAAAATGTATGGCTCCAATCACACTGCACACAATTCGCATGTGATTTGCACAGGAATGCGGTGCGGTTCCTGTGCGAATCACATTGCGATGTACCGAACCGCATATATGTGAACCCGGGCTAAACCTGGTTCACTCAGAATCTCGTGCACCTATGCATGGTATCCAATGAGCTTCTAACCTCAGCTTGTTCAATTAAGCTTTAGCAATAAAAGCTGGAAGCTGATTGGTTTCTTT